TCCTCACTCGAATCTTCTTCTTCTCCTACAACAACTGTACTTTTTAAAGAACTAGAGTCGGTTGACTCGTTATCCATATTAATGAAATAAGACATTGAAATATATTTTTCTTTGTTTTGAGGTATGACTCTTATTTCACCTCCAAATTCAACTAATTCTTTAAAGAAGAGGTGACAGTCGTACGAAGAAAAATTGTGGAAATATATTGGAATAAATTTAGGTAGATGATATTGCAGATTGCAATGGTTATGTACCGCACCTCGATAATGCCCCGTTAAGTGACAATGATCTTTCACCCTATCGTTACCTAAAATGTCGCCACATATACGACAATTGATATCCCTAAGAAAGGCTGTCTCTTCTTCGGGGGTTAGAGTATTCATAGGTTTCGTTTTGGTTAGGTAACTATCATACAAAAATTTACAATCCTGAATTAGTTCTTTTAGAAAAACATTTGCTGCGTCGGGACCACTATATATAAATAACTTATTTAAATTTTCATTAAAACTACATTTAATAAAATAACTAAAAGCACATGGAATATGCTTCTTTACCTTTTCCGTTTTTTTACTCGCCCCATTGTTCTCATCTTCCTGCACGTCTTCCAGTACACTTTCGGAGTCAGCATAAATAACGAAAGGCACCTTTTCCTTTTTCTTGTGATTGACGAACTTCAGTACAGCTTCTTTTTTGTTCGGCAGGGCACAGACTACTTTTCCACACTGCTTTTTGTGAGTCATACATTTATTTTCATCGTGGAAACATTGCAGGCATCCAAAACAAAATAACCTTTCTCCTTATGACTTGTGAATTGAGACCGCATAAGACTGAAAAAAAAAAAGAACAAATACATGATTATTATGATATGGTTTCGATTGATAAGTTTTGTTTTTAATTACCAAGACATATCCATAACCAAAATGTAATGGAAATTTTCTTCATTGTGCAGCAATATTAAATTAATGTGATTGCTTTTCGTCTCCTTTGTTAAGTAATATGGACCAACGACCGACTTGTTTTCATAACCGAAAACATTTACGCTGATCTCTGGGTTGTTCATTTCAAATTTTTTTATATATTTAAGACCCAATGGGAAATTTAATTGTTCGAAATTTAACGATATTCCAGACTGCAGAATAATGACATCTTGGTGTATGTCTACGTTATATGAAGAGGTTATACTCGGATCTCCATATGCAGTTTCTCCCAATGCAACAACCATACACCACTTAAAACAAAATTCATCATAGTTTTTGATGTTAAGGCACGCACCCTTCTTGTTGCTTAATGATTTCGGAGTTGGAATATAATGTGAGCCACGTGTTAAGTTGGCTCTCAACACATTTATGTCAAGTTTTAAAAGTTTCTCCAGGGCCCAATTAGAGCCTCTTTCTTGGAACTCTTCTGATTTAGCTATAATTTCCACACAGTGGTTGAAAACGACCTCTTCCAAATCATCTCCCAGGGTTAATAGCGTTGTTTTTGAAATATGATTAAATATATTTTCAATAGTTAACTCTTTGGAAGTTGAAGGTCCATCTTTTTCATTGTTTGGTTTCACATATAGTCCTTGGAGTTCCATATTAAATTTTATGAGCGTTTTACCGTTTAACTCATTTTTCAAGGTTTTAATTATTAATTCTTTTGAAGCATTAAGAAAATCGATCGGGTACAAAATGTCTTTATTGTTTTGTATCTCATAGCTGAGTATATTTTTGTTAAATGCACTTTTAACAATTTTTATGTCAGAATCCAGATTTTTTCTCACGGTGGAGCGATGTTCTTCGCTACGAACGTGTGATCGTATATTATTCACAATTTTATCACAATCACCACAAAACTTTTCCACCTTCACAGCTGATTTATTTTCATTCTGCTGCTTTAGTTTTTCTTGTTGTTGATCACGATTTTGTTTCATTACATGCTCATCTCCATGATGGTTCTCTAAGTGCAATTCTAAATCGTTTACACTTTCACATAAAACATCACAAAACATACAATGCTTTTTCATATGTTTCACAAATTCACTTTTTTCCTTGTAATAAAGGCTGCATGACCAACAAATTTTTTGAGACATTATAAAAACTTTTTTAAAAATATTAAGAAACGATGCTTATTAATCTGTGACTTGTTGAGTACTGAAATTTCTTCCAATCCAATCAATACATTATTGACTACATTTTGTAAACAAATAGAAATTCTGTGATTGAAGCAGAATTTGTCATGAAACTCTGCAACAACGCTTCCCCCCAAATTCTCATATCCATTTCACAGAAATCCAATTGTTAGTTAATGTAAACAATGGTGTTTCCTTCTTCAAATCCCTTCAATCTTCAATACCGAATTGATGCAGGGTTTGTCATGAAACTCTTTCAGTTTCAATTCTCTCAAATTGCTACATAATGTAAACAAATTCTTCATCGACAAAACTATCAAAAAGCGATCGATATAATGTATCAAAATGCCTGTCCACACAAGAAGAATTTGCTTTGATTGGCTACAGCAGCATTTTTTTAGTGTGTATATGCTACAACATTAATTGGTGGTTAGATGTCGCCTATATCGTTTCGAGGGAAATGACTGGAGAGCCATCTGGACAAAATAATAGAACACACATCTTCTTGTTGACTATGATACTAACCAAATTTGTCTCTGCTATATTCACTTCTCATATGGTGGATCTCTCTAGCCCCATTCGATATGATCATATTTCAATAGTTTTGGAGTGTGTCTATGCTACGACATAATTTATGGATAGTATGGATGGAACTCACCGTTAGATGTCGCCTATATCGTTTCGATGGGAATAACTGAACATTTTTGAGTCGCTAAAATTATAGACAAATTAAAACAAGTACAACGAAAAGTTAGTTTTGTCTTTTTATCTCATCATGTTTTGCATAGCCAACATGCTGATTTTCGTGTTCAACCCACTCGACTTCGTTATCGTTTTTCTTAAAACCCCTGAAATATCAATAATTGCAGCATATTTGTCAATTGAAACTCTTCTATAATATATCACATTTATTGAAGTCGATTTCTTGAAATATATGTTTTCAAATAAATTAATAAGCACATTTGACTGCAGTAATCAGCATGTTGACTATGTAAAAGCATTCTGAGAGCCATCTAGATAAAATGATTTTCTTCGATACTTACCTCTTTCAGATGTGTTTCTGCTATATTCACTTCTCACATGGTGAATCTCTTTAGCCCCACTCGATATGATCATAATACATTTTTTTTCGGAGGATGTCTCTGCTAGTGGTGAATATTAAAACTTGAAATTTCACCATCCCATACACAGTTTTGGATTGTGTCTGCGCTAAACTTAGCGCCATCTAGTAGTTCATATTAAAACTAGCAACGTCAACGCCAACAGCCCCAATAAAATTTGACGTGGTACAATTCAAAAGACAACATCCCCAATATAATTCACCGTGGTACATTTCAAAAGACAACATCCCCAATATATTTCACCGTGGTACATTTCAAAAGACAACATCCCCAATATATTTCACCGTGCTGAATTTCCCCCAATCAACATCCCCAATATAATTTGCCGTGGTACAATTCCCAAGACAACATCCCCAATATATTTCACCGTGGAGAATTTACCCAAATCAACATCCCCAATAGAATTTGCCGTGGTACAATTCCCAAGACAACATCCCCATTAAAATTCACCGTGGTGAATTTACCCAAATCAACATCCCCAATAGAATTTGCCGTGATAAATCGTGGTGAATTCCCAACATCCCCATAAGCACACTACTTGCATTGGAGTATGTATCTGGCTATGTCATACGAATGCTGAAATTTAAAGATTTTCCTTATAATGCCAGCAGTTACACTTGGGTTGATCAAGTTTCACAGGTCTCACTGATTAAACCCAGTGATCAATTCCTTGAAAAAATGAAGGAGTTGGAAATACTTTTTAATGACGTGAACGGCATGGACATTTCATATGCCCCCAAACTTCGGCATTTTTTGATTAGAAAGAGTGAAAAGGTTGACCTTTGCGAAAAAGTGAAGGAGTTATTCTTTAAATGCCGCATATTCTTTAGGCAGTTAAATAGACGCCTGAAAATCCAGAAATCCAAGCAAAGGATTATTGGATGTAAAAAATGATTAAAATAAAGTTATAAGCCTTAAATGACAGTAAGTATCAAACATGCATATTATTTGCCATGAATAAACTTTATATCCTCTTCTATGTAACCCGGTGAGGTGTTTACTTGGTTGGCTATAAAATGTTCTTAGAAGCTATGCGACGATAAGCTACTTAAAAGCCTGAAATTTAATTTAATTCTCTATTTTATCTAGTCATTCTCTAGTTATCTAGTTACCGCTGTGCGGTAATCTGACAATGAATTATGTAATATTTTTAATTTAAATGTGCCTTGAATTAATATCCTTTTGGTTTAAAATCAGTAAAATATAGTCATTATAAGTTTCTTAGTTTAAAAATATGGCAATACTACAGTTAATACTTATTTTACTCTTATGTTTTACAATAAAAACTTTTTTAAAAATGAATAAATATTCGTCAATACATTTTAATAACACTGTTTATTTATTGGTAAAATTGGGGTATTCTAACATACAGGACATTCTTAAAGATTATTCTCAAATACATAAAATCGGACGAATGTACATATAGGAGCTATGTCCAAATCTGAAACAATTTCAATATCATTTTACAAATACATTTTTAGACCAAATTCCATTACACATTTCAAATTTAAATGAAATATATATAAAATAAATTAAATCGGCCGAAAATATGTATGGAAGCTATATCCAAATCTGAACCGATTTCAGTATGGTATATATCCAGTTCTCAGTGGATTTTCAAAAAAATTGACAGCCTATGTTACTTTCAGGCAAAGCTGGAAATGTTTAGGAAAATCTGTTCAGCGGTTGTTAAGTCTATAAATTACAAACAAACAAACATACAAACAACCAACACCACCTAATGAAATTTATCAAATCTTCCGTCATTCAGCAAATCTTTGACGGCATCCAAGATTTTCTTTTTCTGAATTTTTATTTTGATTGTTGTGATTGACAAAAGGCTGCTGCTGTTGGGCCAAATTATTATTCAAGGCCTCTTGTTGTTGCTCCTGCTGTTCTTGCTGCTTTGCCTGGCGATGTGCATTCGAGCCAGTGGAATTGGTATTCCTCTTCAGCTTGGGTGTAGTTGATCTTTGTTGAACATTATTACCGCCGCTCGATGTTGGGTTTTCATTCTGAAAAAAGAGACAAAATATAAGAATGAGAGTGCTTGATCTTGGATTTCCAATAACAAAATAATAACTAAATACTCACCTGATTAAATTTGGTCGGAGTGTTGGTGCCCTGATTTTGCATGGAACGATATTGGTTTTATGTTTTTTTTTTTTTTTTTTCTTTAAAATCATTTATTTTCTATTTTTTTATTGAATATAGTTTGCGACGTTCGTTCACGACGAGAGGCACACACAAAATAAAATGTAAACAAACGCCTCGTTTCTGATTGGTTGAAACAAATTTGCCGCAACCTTTAAATGTCATGGCGAATCTATGTTTTTCGCCTTAGATGTCAATTTTGACATTTGAGGGGACCACAAAAGTTGCTTTGTTGTAGCAATTCGCCGATGCGGTTACCTGTTAGATCTACCTTGGTACAAGGTGGCCATTGGTTTGACAGTTCATTGTCCCAGCAGCTGTGTCGATGCGTCTACCTATATTGTTCTACCACTTTACTATCTGTTACTCGTATAAAAAAACAATTAATTTGTTTATTTATTTGTGTACTTGCGCCTGAGTGGAAAAGCATATAAGCTTTAACTATAATATGCATTATTTTAACAATTTTAATAAACTTTACAATACTCTGATCATCATTTACAATACTCTGAGCAAAAAGTAAACCATTTCATCAGCTGTTTTATAATTTCGTCCGTATTGTGTTCTATACGGCGAATTTACGCGGCTCATTTTGTCGCCGCGTAGGGCGAAATTCGTCGTTCGCTCCAATTGTGTTCCTAGCATAATGTGTGCGTTAAAGCACAGCGTGCATTATTAAATAAAAGGCATGTGTTAATGTATTAGATGTAAGCTTTAGTGTTAAGAATATGTTTTGTGAAACATGGTTAAAATCTGATGTTCTTGACACTGAGGTGTTCTCTGATAATTATCAAGTTTATAGAAAGGATCGAGTAATGAAAAAAGGAGGAGGAAGGACCCCTGTAGTGAATTTGTCTGCGCTAAATTAAATATCACAGTTAACACCGTATTCTTAACTTGTTCTTATATTGCTCCTAATTCTGGCCTTGAAATTTATATAAACCATGCTACTTTAATTTCTAAAGTTTCTTCTTTACTTACGGAAAATTCTTCGTTAATATGTATGGGCGACTTTAACCTTCCTGGTGTTTCTTGGATCTCAGGTGAGAATATTGTAGATTATGTTCCCTCGTCATACCCAATTGGTTTTGATGCCTTTTGGGATATTATATTTGAATCCTGCTTGTACGAAGTGAATGATATTTTAAATATCAAAGACAGATTATTGGATTTAGTCTTCTCTTCGTCGTTGAATATATCGGTTTCCAGATCCTCTCCCTTTGTACTTCCTGAGGACAGCTATCATCCGACGCTGTTGATAAATCTTGAATTGAAGACATCTTCACCTAAATTTTTATCTACTAATGCTTTAATTAAAAGGCGTAACTTTAGAAAAACAAACCTTATTGAACTTCGCACTCTTCTATCAAACACTATATGGCGTATAAGTGACGACATTGACTCCAGTGTCTCAACATTCTACGAGCAACTTAATTCTGCTTTATCTAATTCGGTACCTACTGTTAAGCAAACTATAGACCAGGGCCCCGCTTGGTTTACGACTGCACTGAGACGTTTGCGCAATTTAAAAAGTAGATTGTTTAAAAAATTTAAAAAATCGAATACGGCATTGAACTATTCAAAGTATTCTTCTGCAAGGCATAAATACAACTCTGAAAATTCCAAATGTTACTCTCAACATTTGATAAAAATGAGACAGAACTTGTTGCATAATCCCAAAAACTTTTTCAAATTTGTAAATTCTAAAAAGAAAGCACAAAAATTTCCAAGTCGTATGAAATTTGGTAGTATTGAATCTAGTGATAACTTAGATATTGCTAATTTATTTGCCGACTTTTTTCAATCATCTTATACGTCGAACACTTTTAACGGTGTTTATAACTACAATATCGAGAAATTAAACTATTTTCCTCGTATTATCCTAACAGAAGATGAAGTTTTTTCTGGGTTAAAAGCATTACGTTCTTCGTTCTCCCCTGGTCCTGATGGCGTTCCAACGTTTATTCTAAAATCTTGTGCTAATGTGCTTCACATGCCGCTCACTAAAATTTTTAATTTTTCCCTAATGAAAGGTTATATTCCATGTTACTGGAGGTCGAGCTTTGTCATTCCTCTTCATAAATCAGGAAATAGGAGTTTAGTCGATAATTATTTAGAATGTCGCACCCAAAAGGTTCTCTTTAATGATACATCTTCGAGAAATATTTATGTTTCATCTGGTGTATCGCAGGGAAGTCACTTGGGTCCACTACTATTTGTTCTTTACCTGAACGATCTTCCGAAAATTATTCGTTTTTCTAAAATTCTGATGTACGCTGATGATGTGAAACTCTTTCTTCACATTAACTCACTTAACGATGCAATTTCATTACAATATGATTTAGACACCTTCGTAAATTGGTGTAGTGCGAATGGTATGTCTCTTAATCTAAAAAAATGCAAAAAATTTTCGCTATTTCGAAATCAGCCATTACTATCTAACTATTATATTGGCTCTTATAAATTGGATACTGTTGAATCTTTCGTTGATTTGGGCCTAATCTTAGATCCTAAGCTACGGTTTCATTTACACATTGATTCTTGTGTTAATAAAGCTAAATCTTTACTAGGCTTTATCAAGCATTGGTCAAAAGAGTTTAATGACCCTTACGTAACCAAAATATTGTTTGTTAGTCTAGTTCGTCCAGTATTAGAATATGGTTGTATATTATGGAGTCCATTTTATAAATATTATTCTGATAAAATTGAATCGGTACAAATTCAGTTTTTAATTTTCGCTTTGTGTGGTTTAAATTGGAACCCCTCTGAACTTCTTCCGCCATACGAGAGTCGTTTAATGTTAATCGATCTTCCATCTCTTGAAAAAAGACGTTTTATGTTAAGAGCATTATTTATCATAAAATTAATACGTGGATTGATTGATTCCCCTTTTCTCACTGGTGAAATAAACTATAATGTTCCCTTTCGTAGAACTCGCAATTTTGAACCGTTAAAATTGTCCATAGCAAGAAGAAATTGTGAACTTAATAGCCCACTGAGATCACTTTGTGTAATTTATAACAGTTTATGTAACACTATTTGCTTATTTAGTCCCTTGAACACAATAAAAAATTGTATTCTGCATATGTAATTTATGTTGTGCTATGTCTATGCTAATATTTTGTTTATGTAACCTTATATTTATGTCTTCTTAACTCTATAAGCTCATTTTTACGGCATATTATCTACAACTCCCTCCGCGGAACCAGTAGAACTTCGCCTTTGAGCACCAGTTGTACATGTTATATAATGTTTGTTTTACTTCATCAAGCTGCTTGATCATCTGGCATCTGATCTACAATCGCCATGCGGAACAGTAGACGTGGCCAATGCGCAGTGCTTGTAGTTTGTTGCTTTGTAAATTTATGTTTACTAATCTGTATGTGACTTTTAAAATGTCTATTGTATTTTAACCACTGGCTGATGTAGTTTCTGCAGCCGGTGTAAAACCATTGCTAACCCGCCTTGGTCCGGACTTTGGTGTGTACGCGCTCTCTACGTTATAAAGAGGTTGCCCCCTCTGTCGGCAGGGGCGGGTGTGAGAGGCGTGGGACCGAACGAATAAATAAATTGAGTTCCCTTCCAGCCGAGGAACGAGAAACATAATTTCGCGAAGTTTTATCTTTCGTTAGTTACATCGCTTGTGATTAGGTAGCCCCGACGTGATAGTATCGCGTGTAGTTAGTGAAGGAAGTGATTCGATAGGCTATATTTCCAGTACCCGAGAAAATATTAGTTTATGCGAAATAAATAACATGATAACGCATTTTCGTAGTAGTGAAGTGTGTTAGGCTTATTTGCTGTAGCGACGTAAAAGATGCACTGTTAAAGCAAAGATAGTATTAGATCTTTTAGTTGTGTAAAATGAGACATGATAGGTAGCAGTGAAAGATTCTGTCGATCTATATCTCCATATACTAACGCAATAGACGAGTAGTTAAAAGTGATTAGTTTATTCGTTTATTTTTGAGTGCACATATATTTCGTCAATATGAATTTTGTAGACTTCATTCAACATAAAAGGATGTTGGGCGAGTATATTGTGTCACTTTATTTAGATGTGGAAAGAATTGCTCTGTGTGGTGTAACTGAAGAAGCTGGGGAAAAATGTACCGAATTAGGTAGTTCCTTTACAGAAGCAGGAAAGGAATATTTAGATAACGAGAGGGAACTTCGTCGTATGAAAAAATTACATACTCGGATTGCATAGACGCCTTGGGTGTGTGCTATGCGACTAAAGATATCGGGAGAGTTCTAAACGGCATAGGTGTTTTTGTGCCCATAGAAATACCACGTTTAGATATCGATTATTTAGCGGATGTGAACAGCTTAAGTTCATCGGAGCAGTGTGGGAAAAAGTTGTTCGGAAAGTAGTTCGAAATTGCGTTCATTGCTTTCATTACAAGCCAAAATTGTTGGGGCAAATTATGGGTAATTTGCCTGTTGATCGTTTTCGAGCTCATCGTCCATTCCTATTCACTAGAGTTGATTTTTGTGGTCCATTCACGACATCGTATCGAATTCGTGGAAAGTCACCATAAAAAAATACATCGCTGTTTTTGTTTGCTTCAGTTCTAAAGCAACACATTTGGAACTTGTTTCGGATTTGTCAACAAACAACTTCATAATGTGTCTCAAAAAGGTATTCCCCAAAAGCTCTTTTGCGACAACGCTACCAATTTCGTTGGAGCCCATAATCAGTTCAGAGAAATCAAAGAATCGTTTTACAAAGATGAAGTTGCCCAGAAGATGAAGTCTGTTTGCTGCCAAATGGGTCTTCAATTCAATTTCATACCCCCTCGTGCCCTACACTTCGGCGGATTGTAAGAGGCTGCCATTAAACCGACAAAAACGTTGCTCATTAAAAACATTTCTGAGGCGTATCTCACATTTGAAGAGTTGCAAACACTCGTTGTTGAAATCGAAGCTATACTGAACTTTCGTCCAATAGCTCCCATGTCCTTAACCCCTGTCCACCTCTTAATTGGTTCCTCGATGGTGGCAATACCAGAACCAAATTTAGATGTCACAAAACCATCTTTACTTACACGGTGGCTAGATCTCCCTTTTATGTAGATAACAATAACTAATAAAATCGACAATGAAATATGTATGAGATGTTGAGTTCGTTGGAATTTAACACATCTGTTATTCTTAAGTATTTTTTTTTTTTTTATTTTTTTATTTTTTATTTTTTTTTTTTTTTTTATTTTTTTTATTTTTTTTTATATTTGCTTATTGTTTTGCTTGTAAACAGATCGCAAATAAAG